GGGGGGGGGGGAACCTTACGTGGGCTTGACGCCGCGAAGGACGGAATTGCGATCGCCCATCCTGCGCTCGCCGTTGTAGATGACAGCCAGCCCGCGGGTCTAGCGTTCCGCGTCCACTCCGTGTGACGGCCGCCGACGGCGCAGCCTTGACGGCACTCGCGGCGGCGGCGCCGTCCTTGCCCTCGCCGGCCAGCGGCCTGATGTGCTCCGACTCCTCGCTCGCACCCTCGAGCCAGGTGAAGAGATCGAGCCGCTCCACAAAGGCGAGGTTCTGCACCTTGCCGAGGGCGCCGAGGTCGTCGTTGAGCCGCGTGGCCGAGGCGTTGTACTCGGGGATGGCGACATCCTTGTTGAGCCACGCAAAGTAGATGGAGCGCAGGTCGACGGGGCGGTCGCTGCTGATGAAGCGCGTCGGCGTGCCGAGGCTGATGGAGACTGGTCGCGGGTGAGGGAAGTGCAGGTGTGTGGCTCGGGCGAGGGGGGCCTCGTCGGCGGCGTCTGGGGAGGCTGAGGGGATCGCGGCGCGCTTGGAGGCGATGGACTGGCGCAGGAGGAGCAGCGGGTCCTGCTCGGCGGACGCCATTGTGAGGAGGTGCGTGACGGGGCAGTGTCGATGATGTGTCCCTGGCGATGGCAATTGGGTTGGAAAGGCGAGGCTGAGGGGGTTCGAAATCCGTGTTCAAGGATGATGTCGTCGCTGATGGTGTTGATTGTGTGGTTGAAGCTGTGGTGAGCTCTCGTTGGAGCTGCCAATTTTCCGACGTCGGTAGCGCGACCTCTATGCGCGAAAGCGATCTCTGGGGGCAAAGGTCGTTGGTTATGCAACTATCCATGAGCGATGCCTTCACAGGCCCACGTTCTCATCGTTTCTCGGCACTTTTCCTTCTTCGTTTCCAGTCACGTCTCGAGGCTGCGAAACATGAACAGAGAGTTTTCTTTAATCATAATAGCCTAATCTCTGTCATTGTTCTGTGCTTGCTTCAGGGAACCGCTATCCTGCACCCTCCGAAGAGCGATGGCCACAGCACGGCATCAAACATCCATGACAAACGTTCACCCTGATTCATCCTGCCATGCCCATCGATTTTTGACCAAGATGGGCGCACCCTTTTGTTTCTTGTCGCCTTTCCCATCACGTTCCGGCATAATCGGCATTGGTGATGGATACTTCTGAGCCTTCGCGCCTCGGCCTGAATTCCTTTCGGAGACCTGAAGCTCCCTTGCCGCGGCCATGATAAACACAAACACCCAATCCTCTGGATTCGTGCTTGCTGTTCGCTGGACACGTGGGACTCGTTGGGAGGTGCTCTGGGAGATCAAATTCAAAGTCCAGCACAGCCAGGTCCGAGTCTCTCGGGTTCCGCCTGACGGGCTTCGACGGCATCGCCTCCCACCACTCTTTCGTCTTCGACGAGGGGCCGCCCTCCTGGCTGTACGTCGTGGATCTGGGCGAGCTCTTCTGCGAGGCCGAGATGACTGTCCACGAATCTGCTCCTTCCAGGTTCCCGGGCGGCCGGGTTTGGGAGAAGAAGGATCTGGGGTGGCCCGTGGCAGAATCTTCGACGAGAGGGGGCGTCTTGATACGAGTGGCTTCCTGCGTTGTTACGTATTAGGTAGGGGTCTACCGTATGCACGAAGGTGGAAAACATGCGAGGGTCACAACTTACCCCTCCTGGATAGCCAGAGGTGTAGTAGTCTGCATCTCGTCGGTTAGCCGTGGACCCCACCTCGAGAAGCAATGCTACACGAGAAGCAATGCTACGCACCGAGCTGCATCTCCTTGGATGGTGTGACGGGTGGTGTGCTTCCGGCGAGTAATCCTCGAACCGAACTCGCAGCACTGATGGCCGAGGCACCAGACTCCTTTCGATGCCAGGGTGCCTTGCCGAACCATCTCTTGCCGAACTTGTTGCTGCCGGTTTCGCCCCTGAGCCACGACGCCGATCTAGCCAGACTCCTGACTGCGCGCAGCGGGTCTACTCCGTTCTTCACTTGAGCTTTCTCTGGAGCGCTGCATCCATGCGGTAGACTGTCGTTGGACGCCAGATCAGATGGGGAGCTCGCTGGTGAGCTAGGCAGACGCGCTGATGACTTGTTCTGCAGGCGGTCAAGAAATGTTCGCCCTAGGAGCGTCCTTCTGAGGCCCGTCGTGGCCGTCGCCGCGACTTCCTTCTCCTCAGATAGTTGCACCCCAAACACGACATCGAGAGGCGAAATCTCGTCCATTTCACCTCTCGGGACGACTCTGCGCGTGCTCTTGAAAGAGCTCTCGCTCCATTCACGCAGCTTCTGCGACGAGGGACCCTGTAGGGATGCGACGTGGGCTTCCTCGGAGGCATAAGGGCTCATCGGCGTGGCGGGCTTCAGCATCGAGAGGGAAGGCGAGTTTGGTGCCGACGTCATGGAAGGCTGTGCCTTCGGCGTGAGGCTTTTGGGTGACGGGCCGTGATCATCGCTGCCTCCCATGCGACGCCCTGGAGGATCGCTGATGGACTTGAGAGATCGACTCCGCCAGCTGAACAGCTTGCTCGGCGTGGTCCTGCGTAGGTCGATAACCGCAATCTCGCGTTCAGCCCAGTAGCCCTCAGGAAACCATACCTATTCGAATCCCTCTCGGGCCGGACGAGGGGGGTCAAGGTTGCGCTGCCTAGTGTTCAGCTGCGGTGCCGGCTGGCTGCTCGCAACCGTTCGATACGAGGACGTATGTGGTTGGCTGATTGGGATTTTGCCGAAATATCCACCCATCTGGTGTGGCCTCGGTGTGCTTGATCCATCACAGCTCGGCGTCGTTACGTGAGGGCTGGTTTCGAGCAGGGCAGTATGGAACGAGATGCGACGCGAGGCATCTGCTTCACGAGAAGAGCTGCTGCTCGGCACCGTTAGGTCGACCAGATGATTGAAAGGCTCTGAGTACAGTCTCCTACCTTCGCCTGCGGCTGTTTGGGAAATAAGACGGCGCCTGTCTTTTCGGTTGGGGATATGTAGAAGCCATGGTTTTGGTGCGTAGTCCCCACCGCCGGTTGCACGCCAAAGCTCGTAGAAGTCTACTGCAGCAATCACATCAGGATGGGGGAGGGACACCCATCAAGCCATTCTGAAGAGGAGCGATATGTAATGGATGCTCACGCCGAAGGTCATGGTTGATGCTAGGATGTCGTCTACTCGAAGGAGTGGCCAGGCTAAGACAGAACATGGACTCGCCATGACCCTACCGCAACTCTGATGCCAGCCGTTTCAGGGCGCCATGTGGTTTCTTCAGCTCTTGGTCGGATCACGGGAAGTAGTGACCCCGGTGTTGGTCTGGATCATAAACAAGTCATATAAGTAAGGTAGGTGCTAGCCACCGAACAGCTGGTGCCCAGAGCTGTGGCTACCCGTCCCACGTCATTTTCGGAACCGCCTGGATCGCCGTTCGACTGGCGGTATCAAATCAAAAACCTTTCAACGCCTCTCGTGATGCCATGCCTGCCATTGCCTTCCGGGAGAGAAAAAAAAAAAG